GTGGGGGCAGAGGAAGGACTGGGAGGTACCCCAGAAGGTGGGTCCATGTGGCCTCCGTCACCAGCAGCCAGGTGTTGGATGGAGCCTCTGGCAGGAGGGAGGTCCCTGGGGAGAAGGGGCGGGGCAGCTGTTTGACGGCCGAGAGGCCGGACCGGTCGGAACCGGATGGAAGGTGGGAGGCGGGGCCTGGCATTGGGCGCGACGGACGTAGGGCGTAGGGCGCGACCTTCGGCCCGAGGGGCTGCGGCTGGACGGCGGGACAAACTGCCGGAGGAGGATGGGAGTGCAGTGCTTCTGCAAGAGCCCGTGGGCAGCCCTCACCAGGTGAGAGAACAGAAGGTTTGGCCTCATGCCCTGCCTTCCCAATTTAATGGTTTTATTTTACATAAAAACTCACAAAGATTCTGTGGAGTGGCTACTATCGCCTCGTTCTGTAACCACTTGGGGTGCAGAGGTTACAGCTTGAGGTTCAGAGAGGTTAAGTAACCGTCGGAAGTTGGAGTGTGCACCCTCCTGCATGACTCCCCTGCAAGCAAGGGCTTACTCCCGGGCAGAGGGCGGAGACTCGGGACAGGGTCTCTGTCGCAGTCTCTGCGGGACTGTCGTGGGACGTAGGAACGATGAGCAAGTGGATGGAGGCGCCAGAGGAGGATCTGGGCTCGGTCGCGTGTGCGCGTCTTGAAGAGGGCGGACCGGGAGATCGGGGGTGAAGAGGATGGGGCTTGTAGTGCAGCCCTTCGCCACCAGGTGGCGCCCAACTCCTGTCCTCACCTCCCCAGAGGTGGAGAAGGGTGTGTAGGGTGTATTGTGGGTTCAGCTCCTCTCATACTCAAACACAGAGGCATCCTCACCCGGACACATACCCACATTCTCTTTCACACGCAGATACACTCTTTATGCAGACTCCACACAGCGTACTCAGGATCCATTCTATACAGACTCCACAGGGAAAATGGAAAAGGTTTCTCAGGTTTCCCCTTTGGCTGCTCTCTGAACGAGACGGGGGTCCATCAGTTCTCCCCGAGTGAGACCCCCATGTCCCATGGGTTTGTCTCCCTGCTGAGTGGCCTCTCCCCGCAGAAGGATCCCTGGGCAGAGCCCCTCCTCTGGGCATGAAATAACGAGGAGAGGGCACTGTAAGGCTTGGTCCTGTGCTATGAGGCAGCAGGAGGGAGCTGAGTGTGAAGGGGCAGCAGGAGGGGCGGGGCTGAAGTTTGGATGGCGGGGACTGGGACAGATGAGGCCATTGCTGATAGACCTGGAAAGCAGGTGGGAAGGTGGGGTGAGGTGGGGGTGGGGTGCCAGGGCTGTGCACCCAAGGTCTTACTGTCCTTCCTCGCTGTTCAGTCTCCGAGGGCCCAGTCTCCTTGAAATGGGTGACTTAAGTCTGGGGGTGGGGTGGGTGAGGACTAGAGGTGGGTAAGGGAAGCCAGCTAAGGATCATTGCCTGCTATCCAATGCCTTGAAAACGTTTATCTTATAGATTTTGTCATTTTGTTATTATTTCAGGCAGGCGAGTAAATCTAGTCTTTATTACTCCATCTTGGGTGGGGGTGTAAGTCTATTTTACTAACTTTCATTGCATTACTAGTATAGTAATCCATGTATGAATATTGGTACACATCTGAATATTAATATTTTTGCCATTAGAAAGAATGATCCATGAATATTCATATATATCAAGTATTACATTGTATGAGTATCTGTACCTGTTTCTATTGATGTATATCTTCAAGCTTCCATCTGGGACCATTCGTTTCTACCTGAAAACACCCTTGCAGTATCTCCTTTCGTGCTGGTCTGCTGCTGATGAATTCTTCTGGTTTTTATTAGTTTGAAAACATCTTTGTTTCTCCTTTATTCTTGAATGTTTTGGGAGCGGCTGAATTCTAGGTTAGAAAGGATTTTCTCCTTGTACTTGGGAGATAACGTTCTGTCCTCTTTTGACTACCGTGGTTTCTGATGAGAAGTCTGCTGTCAGCCTTGTTATTGCTCCTTTGAAAGTAACGCATCTCTTTCTCTGGCTGCTGTTAAGATGTTATCTGTTTTTTGGTTTTCAGCAGTTTTATCACGATGTGTTTAGGTATGGTTTTCTTAGTATTTATCCTGCTTGTGATTCATACTGTGTCTTGAATCTGTGGTGATTTTCTCTCTCCTTAATTCAATTTTTATTAAATGTAGATAAGCATACTTCCTATATCCCCACAGCATGCTAAGAAATTTCTACAAAATGTTACTGAAATCTTGTGATAACAAGAGAGAAATAGTGATGCAGAGATGGGGGAAATATATAGATTTAATTCTCACCCGAGGATATTTTTTCCATTGATTTTTAGACAGAGGGAAAGATGACGAGAAATATGGATGTGAGAGAAACACATCGATTGGTTGTCTCCTTCACAAACCCCAACCAGGGTCCCGACAGGGGAGGAGCCTGCAACCAAGGTACGTGCCCTTGACTGGAATCAAACCCAGGACCCTTTGGTCCGCAGGGCAAGGCTCTATCCCCTGAGCCCAACCAGCTAGGGCGAGATGGGGGTAATATTTTAAATCAGTCATTAGATTCTCATCCTTGAGGTTCAAACTCACACCCCTCCTCGGGAGAGGAGAGGATCACCAGTGGTGGTCTCTCTCCTTAGCTTCTGCTCTATAACCAAGGATTACCCTTGACCAGAGGTCCCTACCTGGAATCAAGACTCTCCACCCTCTGTCTGGTGGCTGATAAGAAGGGAAAACGACTTTTTATCTGTCTCTGTGGTTTATTTTGTCTCTCAGCAAACACTTATGTTTTAATGATAATTTAGTATTTCATTGTTTAGAACTTCACCCTATCAGAATAGGGTTTTAGATTTACCATTGAAGGGATTCCCTTCAGGACAGTAAGTAGACTTCTGAGTGCTGAGTTCTAACGCAGCAGGTTAAAGAATAGCCAGTGAACAGCCAGGGTTTCTCTGCCCTGGTAGAATTCTTACTCTTTGCTTTGACCATTAGGCTTCAAGTGCATCTGTATGAGGTGTTAGGGAGGCATCAGGGAGCAACCTTCATGCTTATATCTCTATCTCTACCAGAGCATTTGCTCTTTCAGTGGTGAACCAAAATGGAAGCACTTTGGTTCTTGGCCTGGGTCACCATGCTCACCAATCTTTGCAGCCGGGTGAACCCTCTGTGATCTGACCCAGCTCACTGGTTCATGTGTGTTTCCTGATTTCTAGATACAATCATCTAATTGCCCAATCCCTGTAGATTGCCTCTCTGTGTTATAGAGGCTGGAAATTGAAGTAACATTTCCCATGCTCCACTGCAGCTTGTGTTTCATGTGTAACCTGGGCTCCATGTAGAAGGTGTCCCTGAGAAGACCTGGGGGTGGAAGTACACAATGGGCATGATGACTGCAGGCAAGAAGATAATATCACCTAGAAAGCAGCTATGATGGAGGTGTCTCGGTGTTCTAGGGGCACCCAAGATAGAGTTTCTAATAGCCCCTCACATAGGCGCCCAGCAACAGATGACAGGATGGTAATTTTCTATTAGAAAATTCCCCTGGTGTGTTGGGCATTTTGGCTGGCTGCATTGTCCCTGACCTTCAGCTGTGTAGCACTGAGCCCCATTCTTTTCTCCTTCTACCTAAACCTGTGTAGGTTATGGCTTGTATAGCTAAGAACCTCAACTAATAGTTCTCTTGAAGCACTGATCCCATTGCTCAACATCCCCCAATAAAATGTAAGCTCCTTGAGGGGACAGACTAAGACTGGCTTATTTCTATATCCTTAATACTTATCACAGAGCCTAAGACAGAGAAGGCACTCAGCAAAAATGTATTGACTGCTAAATGAAATGTTAGTCATAACAGTATACATCCAATCCAGTCTGGCTGGTGTGGCTCAGTGGTTGAGTGTCGACCCATGAACCAGGAGGTCACAGTTCAATTCCTGGTCAGGGCACATGCTCACATTGTGGGCTCGACCTCCAGTAGGGGGCATGCAGGAGGCAGCTGATAGATGATTCTCACCATTGATGTTTCTATCTCTCTCTCTCCCTCTCCTTTCCTCTCTCTCTGAAATCAATAAAAACATATTTAAAAAAAAATTAAATCTGCCCTGGCCGGTTTGGCTCAGTGGATGGAGTGTCGGCCTGTGGAGTGAGGGGTCCCGGGTTCGATTCAGGTCAGGGGCACATGCCTGGGTTGTAGGCTCGATCCCCAGTGGGAGGCATGTGGGAGTCAGCCAGTCAATGATTCTCATCAATGTTTCCATCTCTCTCTCCCTCTCCCTTCCTCTCTGAAATCAATAAAAATATATTAAAAAACAAATTAAATCCAATCCAGGTGACTCCATCCTCTGAGGAGTCTGGGGCAGGCCTGTACATCTGGAGTATCTCAGTAGTGATCATGGACATGCAAGCGTTGCCTCATTCAACTAGAGAAAATAGTCTGCTCAGTAAAACCAGGCCTGCGTGACGAACTGTCAGGCCTCCCATCAGAGGGATCATGTTCACAGTGGAATCATGCTTGCGTGACCAGTGCGGAACATCATTGAAAACCAGCTGGCTTCCAGAACGCTGACCGGCAGGTTCCAGGATGCAAAATCATATTCACCTTGAGGGGACATATGAAAGTAGGACAGAGAGAAATAACCAAATTTATATTATATCATCAAATCAATTTTAAAATATCACCAATAGAAAAGTTCTCCCTAAAGAAATGTCACCCAAAACTGCCCCTGAATACTCATTTTCATCTCTTCATGTGAGCTGGGTCCTCTTAGTGACCAAACACAGGCCCCCAATGTTGTGTTCTCTCTTATTATCTCAGTTTTTTTCACGACACTCTTCTAACTTGCTAGATGGGTTTACATGGGCCCTCTTGACAGCTGGCATCTATCCCACCAAGGGAAGCCGTTGGGCAGTTGAGTGCAGTGGTTAAGGCTGTGGTGTCAGGCACCTGGGTCAAGCCTCCTGCTGTGTGACTTTGTGTAAGGCACTTACCTTCCCTGCGTCTCCGTTTACTCATCTGTAAATGGGGAGGAATAACAGACTTTCTTGAGGTGGTTGTGAGGATTCAATGCGAAGCGCGAGAGCCACTGTGAAAGCCGCCAGCTGTCTGCATTGCAGGGCTTCCTTAGGGTGCATTTCTGGGGATAAGGAAGCGTAACTTCATCTTTGGCGAAACCTGAGGGGTCAGAGGAGCAAGCAGTCCCAGGAGGAAGCCTCAGACACAGGAAGGGCAGGTTCAAAAGAGTTGGAAAGAGGTAACTGACATCCTGGGTTCGTGTGCCCGAAACGTATATTTTCAAGCCCTGACCCCTGGTGTCTGTGAATTGACCTTATTTGGAAATGGGATCTGTGTAGATGTGATTATGTTGAGGTCCTTATAAAAAGAGGGAAATTTGGACCTCGAGACACACAGGAAGAAGGCCATGTGAAGACTGAGGCAGAGATCGGAGTGATGCTACCACAGGCTAAGCAATGCCAATGATGGCCAGGAACCATCAGAAGCTAGGAGAGAGTCAAGGACAGATCATCCTCTAGAGCAGAGGTTCTCAACCTTGGCTGCACATTAGAATCACCTGGGAATCTTTAAAATCCTGATTTCTGGGCCTCATCCTCCGGAAATTTTGTTTCTTTGTTATGGGGGCGGGGGAGCACAACATGAGTAACAAAGAAACAGAATTTCCGGAGGATGAGGCCCAGAAATCAGGATTTTAAAAAGATTCCCAGGTGATTCTAATGTGCAGCCAAGGTTGAGAACCTCTGCTCTAGAGCCTTCAGGGAGAGCCTGGCCCTGCCAAAACTGTGATTTCAGACTTCTGGCCTCCAGCACTGTGAGATGATACATGTCTCTTGTTTGAAGTCACCCAGTTTATGGTGCTTCGTTTCAGTGGCCCAAGGAAACTAACACTATAGATGAGGCCAGAGAGAGGTCACATCGGACAGATGGACTGGAGGGAAGAGGGGACACAGCTGACCATCATTTTCCAGATTTGGTGTCTTGGGTCCAGTTGGCAGGACAGTCCAATCACTGAAGACCATCTGGGACATACACACAAAAGCCTGGCCCCTTGCTGCAAGGTGGGGTGACTCCTCAGTGCAATCTGCGATTTGTGCTCCAAACGCGCCTTCCCCATCAGGCCAAGGCTAGAGTTACCTTAGACCACCTCTATCTTCAGCTCCCTCTTTCCTATCCTGCCTGTCTCCTTCCTTGCAGGTGGTTTCTGACAAGCACTCCCATCCCTGTCAGCCAGGTGTGGTCACCATCACTTAGAGTGTTCATCACATGCTTCCCCGGCCCAGCTGTGCTGGCTGCTAGGGGTGGTGTTGGTGTAGAGGCATTAAGGCAGGACCCTATCCCGAGGGAGCACACAGTAACCTGGGTAAAATGTTAATTGATTAACCAGCTAGTTAGTTAATTAAACACACATTTATTGAAAACATCCTTTGTGCTGTCCCTGGCTGAGCACTGGAAGGGCTGCAGAGCAATCAACAAAACCAGACACCAAGCTTATAGACTAGTTGAGGGATAGACACCAATCAAACAAACTCACAAGTGAATGTAAAACTGCAGCTGGGCCAACTGGGCTGTTAAGGAAAAGTAGACGGTGTTACAAGAGCCTCTAACAGGGGGATTTGATGTGGTCAGGTGGCCAGGGGTGTCTTACCAGAAGAAAAGCTGCCTGGGCTAAGACCTGAGATGAGTAAGAATTAACCAGGCAAAGAGGGAGAGGGGACAGTATGTACGAAGATCACCTGGCAGGAGGAGCACAACAAGAAGGAGGGACTTCAGGAAGATCAGTGGGGGTGAGGTGGTGTGGTGTGGGGTCGGGGGAGAGTGGCTAGGACAGTATGATGAGGCAAGCAAGGGAGGCAGTGGCCAGGCAGTGGGCTTTATCCCAAAAGGAATGAACATTAAAGGCTTTCAGTAGGCAGGTGACCTGGTCAGAAACAGACAACTACTCTGGCTACAGCACGTGGTGGAGACTGGAGGATGGATTCCGGGCTGTGGGCAGACCCATTAGGGAGCTCTTGAGCAGTTCAGGTGAGGACGTGGCCAAGGTCACAGAGGATGGAGAGAAATGCACAGATTTGAGAGATACCGTTGATGGTGGGCTGGATATGATGTGTGGGACGGGGAGAGAGGGGCTGATGGTGATTCTTAGTTTTCTGGTTTGTGCAGGTGGATATACACTGAGTGGCCAGATTATTATGACCACCTGACATTTGTAGGCAAATTAGCTATAATTTTGCGCTGAAGTTGCTAGAGGGCCAGACCATTATAAATAGGGAAGCAGGTTGTTTACCACGACAGTAGAAGTGATTTTTTTTTCTGAAGATATAGGTAAACAACGTGATTTAACAGCCTTTGAACGTGATTAAAATCAATAAATCTTAATAAAAATGAGCTCCATTATTTATATTAATATTCCACTATTTATATTTTGAGGTAAAGATCAGTTATAATTAAGATAAAAAAAATTGGGTTTCCCCTAAAAAAATCAAGATTCTGAAATCAAGCAAAATTTAATTACTGTGGTCTCAGGTACAGGATTAAATGCCCATAAATGAATAAAATTTAGTGTTTTCCAGTTAGTTTGCATACTTTACATTCATCTTTGTTTACTTGCATTCCATTGATATTTTATTTTGAACTTGTACAAGGATTCAGGCAATACTGTGATGACAACTGCAAGGAGTTTCTTTATCTAGTTGGAAATC